ACTCATTTTACAACAAATCAATAGCTGTGGGTCAGAGTTCACAGGCCCAATATGACTTGTCAAGCATTTGGTTAGAAAGCTGAAAATCTAGAAGCTAGCACAAGTACTTTTCATCATTTGTGAACAAGTATAAAATGATCACCTTAATTTGAGATCAGTAAAAATAAACCAATAGGATTAAACCTCTCCTCCCACACACACAACCTAAAATATGATTTAAAAATTTTATTTGATGAGAACTCCCCATCAAGGCTTATATTTCTCTCTCTCTTTTTAAATGTTTTTATTGATTTCAGAGAGAGGAAGGGAGAGGAAGAGAGAGATAGAAACATCAGTGAGAGAGAGTCATTGACTGGCTGCCTCCTGCACACCCCCTACTGGGGATGGAGCCTGCAACCCGGGCGTGTGCCCTGATTGAGAATTGAACCGTGACCTCCTGTTTCATGCGTTGAAGCTCAACCACTGAGAGCCATGCCAGTTGGGCACTTATGTTTCTCTTTAAGAAAAAAAATGTAACTAAATTTAGAGACACTGCTTTTTCAATTACAGTTCAAGTGTACAGTATAGTGATTAGACATTATTGAATTACATTCAATATTATATTAGTTTCAAGGGCACAGTATAGTGATTAGACATTTATATAATTTGAAGTGATCACCCCAGTAAGTCTAGTACCCACCTGGCACCATACATAGTTATTACAATATTATTAACTATATTCCCTGTGCTGTATTTTACATCCCTGTGACTATTTTGTAACTTCCAATTTATAATTAATCCCTTCCCCTTTTTCACTCAGCCCTCAACCCCCCTCCCATCTGGCAACCATCAGTTTGTTCTCTGTATCTCTGAGTCTATATCTGTTTTGTTTGTTCATTTATTTTGTTCTTTATATTCCACATATAAGTGAAATCATATGGTATTTGTCTTTCTCTGTCTGACTTATTTCACTTAGCATAATACCCTTTAGATCCACTCATCCTTTTGCAAATGGTAAAATTTCATTCTTTTTATGGCTGAGTAATATTCCATTGTACATATGTACCTCACCTTCTTTATCCAGTCATTTATTGATGGTCACTTAGGTTCCATATCTTTGCTATTATAAATAATGCTGCAATGAACATAGGAATACATTAATCTTTTAAATTAATGTTTTGGATTTCTTCAGATACATATCCAGAAATGGAATGGCTGGATCATAAGGTAGTTATATTTTATTATTTTTGAGGAACTTCCACACTGTTATCCATAGTGGCTGCACCAATTTGCAATCCCACCAACAATGCACAAGGGTTTCCTTTATTCCACATCTTTGCCAGCACTTGCTGTTTGTTGATATCTTGATGATTGCCATTCTGACAGGTGCAAGGCGATATTTCATTGTGGTTTTAATTTGCAGTTCTCTAATGATTAGTGAAGTTGAGCATCCTTTCATATATCTATTGGCCATCTGTTTGCTGAGAAACACTCTTACATATTTAAAATGTCATCACAGAGCATCATGGTGGAGTATACACACCCGTGTATCTCCCCTTCAATCTATAGCTAATCACACATCTATAATACAACAAAAGTTACTCTAGTCAACACACAAGCAAGCTTGAGAGATCCACACAGTGGTACATCTGAAGGAGGGTGTATTGGAATACATAGGGGAGGCAAGATGAGGGAGAAAACAGGGATGGTGCCTAAAGATGTGGTTCCACAGCCACCATGGCTAGCCTGTGGCCTCAGCTAAGGGGTTAGTGGTAGAGGAGTTGGGGTGCAGCCCCCATACTATGGCCCAGTGGAGAGAGTAAGAGGGGTAGAAACAACACCTGAGAACCCACTCACTCCCCTCCTAATTGCAGTAGAGCCTGGTAGCAGATGCAAAGATGTGTCTCTGGTCTCCCAGCTATAGCACAGTGGCACCAGGCAGGGTAGGAGCCAGGTAACAGTACACTGGGCTCACAAACCAAGCTTTCCCCTCGCCCACCACATCCTTGCACCACAGTAGTGGTGCCCCAATACCCAGATGACCAAAACACAGTGGGAACACTCACTACCCTATCACCCAGGTGGCAACTCTCATGGCCCTAGTGAAGACCCGCCACCTCTAGGGGCAAGTAGAATAGGTAAGAGAAAGCAAAAGCTTGTGCTATAGCACCATCTACCAGTAAACAAAACAAAGACCTCCAATTATCAACCTGCCGAATTGTTAAAATCAGAACAGTACCTAAGTAAGAAAGATATTCGCTACTTCAAATGCTCCAGCAGATGAACAACCCATCGAGCACCATGAGCAATCAAGGTAACAGGGCAACACAGGAAGAAAATGACGATTCTCCAGAAACCAAACTCGAAGTCATGGAAGAGAGTTACCTAAATACTACAGAATTCAAAAGAGCAGCCATGAAGAACCTCGATGATATACGAGAAAACTCAGAAAGGCAGGTCGATGAGCTCCGGAATAAAATTAATGAACAGAAGAAGTAATTTACCAAAGAAATCAAAACGATAAAAACAACCAAACAGAAATTCCGGAGTGGAAGACTACTCAGTAAATGAGGTGAAGAATGCATTAGAAAAGCATGAGAAATAGAGCGGACCACATGGAAAGAGGGTTTGTGAGGTTGAAGATAGAAATCTAGAAACAATTCAGGTGGGAGAGGGGAAAAAACTCAGGCTTTTACAAAATGAAAGAACTGACCAAGGGATCAGAACTGAATCCAGAAATAAATCCACACATATATAGGCAAGTAATTTATGACAAAGGAGCCAAGAACATAGTGTGGTGAAAGGAAAGTCTCTTCAGTAAATGGTGTTGGGTAAACTGGAGAGCCACATGCAAAAGAATGAAACTAGACAACTATCTTACACCATAAACAAAAATCAACTCAAAATGGATTAAAGAGCTGAATGTAAGACCTGAAACAATAAAATACATAGAAGAAAACACAGGCACTGTGCTTCTGAACATTCATCTTGGTGGTGTTTTTGTGAATTTGACTCCAAAGGCAAGGGAAGCAAAAGTAAAAATAAACAAATGGAACTAATCAAACTAAAAAGCTTCTGCACAGTAATGGAAACCATCAACAACAAAAAGGCAACCAACTGAATGGGAGAAGATATTTGCAAATGATACTTTTGATAAGGGGTTAACATTCAAATATAATAAAAATATATATAAAATATATATAAAAAATTCATATAAGCCAACAAAAACAAAAAACAACAACAAACAATCCAATTTAAAAATTGGCGGAGGATCTGAAGAGACATTTTTTTAAGAAAGACATATAGATGACCAACAGGCATATGAAAAAATGTTCAACATCACTAATTATTAGAGAAATGCAAATCAAAATCACAATGAGATATCATCTCACACCTGTTAGAGTAGCTGTTTTCAAAAAGGCAAGAAATAAGTGTTAAAGAGGGCGTGGAGAAAAGGGAACCCTCATACACTGTTGGAGGGATTGTAAATTGCTGCAGCCACTGTGAAGGCAGTATGGAGTTTCTTCAAAAAATTAAGAATAGAGCTGCCATAGGACCCAGCAATCCCTCTTTGGGGTATTTATCCAAAGAATATAAAAACACTAATTTGAAAAGATGTGTGTACCCCTATGTTCATTGCAGCATTATTTACAGTAGTCAAGATATGGAAACAACCTAAGTATCTATCAAAGGATACATGGATCAAGAAGATGTAGTAGATACACACAATGGAATATTAATCAGCCATAAAAAAGATGAAATATTGCCATTTGGGACAACATGGATGAACCTTGAGGGTATTATGCTAAATAAAATAAGTCAGACACAGAAGGGCCAAAACAGCTCATATGTAGACCAACAAAAAAAAAATAATGAACTAACAAAACAAACTCCTAGATACAGACTATAGAATGGTGGTTACCAGAAGGTAAGGTGGCTGAGGGGAGGGCGGGATGGGTAAAGGGGGTCAAATGTGTCATAACGAAAGGAAACTAGACTTCTGGTGGGGAGCACGCAGCAGAGTATACAGATACTGAAATATGTTGTTCACCTGAAATTTATATAACGTTATTGACCAACGTTACCAATAAAAATAAATCAAATGTCATCATAACTAAGGAACAGTAATTTATGTGTATTCTGAAAAGTGGGTAACTCATACCTCAAGTGTTAAGAATTTGCCAGGTGTTTTTTTTCCTGTCAATGTTCAGGGGAGAGGATGTTCTCATTCTTAGGCTTCATGCAGGGTAATAAAATGAACAAAGTTTCGGCTGCCAAATTTGATAAAAATATATCTTGAAAAATCTAGCACACCCCTCAACAACCCTCCCCCCCAGCTTTACTGAGGTACAACTGACGTACAAAAAAACCACACAGATTTCAAGTATACAATCAGATGCATCTGGCACTTGTGCGCCCATGAAGCCATCGCCACGATCAAGATGGTGAATGTAGCCATCGCCGCCAAGTTTCCCTGTGTCCCTTTGTGATCCCCTGGAATCCCACATTCACAACTCCCACCCCAGGCGACCACTGACCTGTGTCTGTCACTATAGATTAGTTTTCATTTTCTAGCATTTTATATAGACGGAATCGTAAAGTATTCTTTTTTACATGATATCCATCCATGCTGCTGTATCAATAGTTCATTCCTTTTAATTACTGGATAGTATCCCATTCTGTGGATATATCTCAGTTTATTCACCCAAACCTTTGATTTATAAATGAGTCTTCGTCAGTGAACTTGTGCCCTCCCATAGCATGGATACCATGAAATCTCTTGTCACCGGTAAAATCGATCAAGTCACGTTTCCGAAGCCACAAAGCTGAGGGCAGACCTGGGATGGATGGAGTCTCCCACTGAGGGTGGGGCGCTCCCGTCTTCCGATCCCAACAGCATGGAATTGGGAATTTGTCATTTTCACTCTAAAACAATGTACAGCAAGGTGTCCTGATTAATAGTGATTAAAAGGAAAGACTCATTCCTTTTCTCCCAAACCTCAACCCCTTTGTTCCCTCAGACCCCTAAGGGGATGTGTCTGACATCGGTGAAGATAGCCATCGATGTGGGGTACCGGCACATTGACGGGGCCTACATCTACAAGAGCGAGCACGAAGTGGGGCAGGCCATCAGAGAGAAGATAGCGGAAGGAAAGGTGAAGAGAGAGGATATTTTCTACTGTGGAAAGGTGAGAGCTTCCCTTCACCCTTCATCTCCTCCTGTTAATGACGGCAACCATCAAAATGTTCTCGGCACCTATAAGTCTGTTTCTATTTCTGCTTGTTCACTTATTTTGTTTTCTAGATTCCACACATAAGTGGAAGCATGTGGCATTTGTCTTTCTCTATCTGACTTATGTCACCCAGCACAATACCCTGTAGGGTCCGTCCATGTTGTTGCAGATGGCAAGATTTCTTTTTTTTTAATGGCCGAGTCATATTCCATTGTATATATGGGCCACTTCTTTATCCACTCATCTACTGATGGACACTTAGGTTGCTTCCATATCTTGGCTACTGTAAATAATGCTGCAATGAACACAGGGATGCATATTCTGGTACTGTATTCTGATAAAATTATACTCTGAGTGTCAAGAGTTATATCAGCTAATTCTATACTCAGAATAAAACTTCAGCATAAACATATTTTTGTGCAATGAAATGAATGAATAAAATGTGCATGAAGGCCTTGTAAAGAATAAAGAGCTGCATTGTTATTTTTTAAAAATAGTGTGGATGTTAGTTAACCATCCCCTTATATTCTTTCAGCTATGGGCTACAAATCATGAACCAGAGAGGGTCCGCCCATGCCTGGAGAAGACACTTGAAGTCCTGCAGCTAGATTACGTCGATCTTTACATCATTGAAATACCCATGGCATTTAAGGTGAGTTCAGACGCCTAAAGGTTTGGCCTCCGCTCTTTGGCAACCATGAGCCAGCAGCTATGTGCACGAGGCTGGCTCATCACTTAGCATCATAGAGTGTTACCATTTTGTAACTGTAGATCAGACAGCACTGACCTAGCCTAACAAATGCCCAGAAATATTATGTGTAACAGACTCAGGCTTGGTTATCATGTTTCTTGATTCATAACCCAATGCACTTTTTATGATATCACATCTTTACAACTGTAGTTTAAACTCTCTCCATCAAACCATCACATAGTCCCCAAATGGAGGTCCATATTTTCGTTGTCCAGCATCGAGACACACCCTTCTCACTCACATAGTCATGAAAATGTCCCTGCAAGACGTAATGCAAAATAACATACTGAAAACTTACTCACCTTCCACCCCCTCCAAAGAGAAATAACTCAAAGAATGGTCAGGTTTTTTGGAGTCAGCAACAAGATCAGGGCGATAGCCTTTCTTCTAGTTCAAATGCACTTCCTCCTTGAACTTCCCCAATCTATGGACTCAGTTTAACCACCACCAACACATCCCATATGCACTGCGGAAGTAAAGTAGCTACATTAAAATTTCACTGAGGGAAGGAGAGACTGAAAATGAAACTGGTCACACGTGCAGGAGGCAAATCAGACCCTGCTGGTCAGGAAGAGCAAGGACTCGGCCATTGCAGTGGCCAGAATTGCTTTACGCAACCAACCTGGCTGCCCCTGTTCTGTTCTCCAGAAGCACTCTCCTTGATGACTCTCCTCTGTGGTTACACCCAAGAGGAACTTCGGGAAAGATTCCCCTTTTGCATCTACTTCATGTAGGTACAGGTTTGCAGGCTTCACAATGGCCTTGGGAATCAAAGGCTCTTATTGCTCAGGTTGGGATTTCACAGACAAGACAATATTCCTTAAAATTCTGCTAGGCTTTCAGTAAATTCACATTCAGTCAAGTCACATTCAGAAAGAATAATTAAAACTAGAGATCTTGCCCAGCTAGGCTTGGCTCAGCGATTGAGCATTGACCTAAGACCCAGGAGGTCACAGTTTGATTCCCGGTCAGGACACATGCCCAGGTTGCTGGCTCAATCTCCAGTAGGCAGCGTGCAGGAGGCAGCTGATCAATGATGACTTTCTCATCATTGATGTTTCTCTCTCTCTCTCTCTCTCTCTCTCTCTCTCTCTCCTTTCCTCTCTCTGAAATCAATAAAGATATATTTAAAAAACAAACACAAAACTAGAAATCTTATAGGGTCACTTTCTTGTATCTAACCCTCCGCCTATGGTTTCTGCATCTTAGTAAAGGACCCCCTTGTTCTGCTCATCTGCTCAGTCCTCAGCTTAATGGCCCCCATTTGGCTTGAAATAATACAAAACAGGGACGCACAGATAATGTGTTCCTGGCACCCAGTCTGCATCTCATTGGATGGTTCTCTTTGTTGGGGAGGGCATTCATGGCCCGAGATCTTGCCTTCAGAGGATACTGACAAGGATCCTCCCAAAGTTCAATTTTATTTTCCTCTAGGATTCTTACCTTCCTGTCTTGGTTGACACTGACTTTTCTTACTCTAGAAGGCTCAGAGATGAACTTCTGCCATTTGAGAAGGCATCTAGAAGCAGAAAGTGCTTGCTTTAGCAAAATACGCTCTTACCACACGTCTTACATGCCAAGTACCAATAAATGCATTTATCTTTCTTCAGGTCTTGACTGAAGACTGAAAAAATGGCCAACAAACTCTAACACCCAACATTTTTCTATTAAGTCCCCTAAAGCTCCAATCTTAGGAAGCCCATTGTCAGAGTCTTAAGACACAACAAGGCAATAATTTAACCAGATGCCATGCTATTGCATAGCAAGAATAGCCAATTCTCAGCTGGAGAATCCTCACTGTCCACAATCCTGCAATGACTTAGCCAATTCCACATTTTTTGTCCATTACTTGCCATACCTAACACCTTTATATCAGTCAGGACTCTTGTTATAAATGGCAGAAATCCAACTCAGATTGGCTTTAGCAAAAAAGGAACTAAGAATTCCAAGGTTCGACTGTATCTAGAAGTTCAAACTATGCACCTACATCTGGCCCTTTCTCTATCCCTGTGTTCCGGTTGGCTTCATTCTCAAAAATCTGTTTTTATATGATTTCAAAATGCCCATTGACATGCCAAGCCTACCTTATCAATACAACTTAAGAATTCAGAGAAAGAGAGACTACACATTCAACCTCATAGAGAAGGCATAAGGATGGTAGAAAGCGAAAGGACAGATTCCGTTGTACTCATTAATCGGAGGTAACTCAGCAAGCATGGTGGTACAAAGCATGGGCTCCAGAGCCCTGCTGCCTAGTGTGAATCCCAGCTCTGTAATATGTGAGCCAGTTGACTTGGTCAAGTTATTACCTGATCTCTTTACACATCACCTAAACATGGTGCAGTGGAGTATGGGCTTTGGAGTCACACAGAAGAGGGACTGACTTCCAGCTTTATTACTCACTAGCATAGTCACTTTGATATTTCTGAACTTCAATTTCATTATTGGTAAATTGGAGACAATAATATCTAACTCGCTGAGTGTTGTGAGGAGTCATTAAATTATATATGTGAAATTACTGACACAAGGCCTGACATTTCACAGATAATAAAAGATAATGTTATGAAATGTCCTGGTGGAAATATATATTCCAATATATAGAGGCCCCAGGCAATGAAGTAGCTAACTTGGGTTTAAAATCCATCAGAGCCCGGCCGGGCATGGCTCAGCCGTTGAGTGTCAACCTAGGAGCTAGGAGATCGTGGTTCGATTCCCGGTCAGGGCACATGCCCGGGTTGTGGGCTCGATCCCCAGTCGGGGGCTCGCAGGAGATAGCCGATCGATGACCCTCTCATCATTGATGTTTCTCTCTCTGCCTCTCCCTTCCTCTCCCTAAAATCAATAAAGATGTATTTTTTAAAAAGAGAGAGAGAAATACACATATATATTTATAAATAAATAAATAAATAAATGAAAAAATAAAATCCATCAGAACTGGGACCAGATCTTGGGTCCCCTAATGTCAATCCCATATTTGTTCTATACTACACAGCCCCTTCTGCCTTATCCATTTTTTAAAAAAGGTGAATGACATTTTTAAAAGATAAATGAAACTACTGCTGCACAGAAATGAGAATCAATAGCATGGGTTTTTAGAGGGTTGAATTATTGTTTTAATAATGCCTTACCATAGGAGCAGGAGTGGAGGGAAAAGACCATGGGATTATTCGGAGGAGGGATTAGTAAAGTAGGCACAGTGGAAACCTAAGAGGAACATCATAGAAATATCTAGCATGGGTTCAGGGGACTTAATTAAAGGACTTAATTAAAATCTGGGAAAGTAAAAAATATTAAACACAGTCCATGAGAGAGGCATGAAACCATTCCAGAACAGAAGTAAAACTGAGAAATGCAGAAGGCAAGAAATATGGAGGGAGACTGGAGTGGAAACGTGGGCCGCCAGTGTTGAGACAAAGAGCTTGGAAATCGGAGACAGAAAGGGTCATTAACATGAATGATTACGTGGCATTGTGGAATAAAGAGCCTTTTTCCTGCTCTCAGTGAGACAGGAGGAAACTGAGCCAAAATTGTCTTTGCTGGAGAAAGTGTTATCACCAGGGGAAAGTTTTGTTCAGGTGAGATGGCGGAAGAAAAAAAAAATTTTAATATAATGAATTTTGTCCAGTTGCTTGATTTTCAATAAAAATTTCTATTATCAAGGACTATAAAGACTTCCGTGCTGCCAACCATATCCAGTAGATACATAATCCTCATATTACTTGATCTCTCTCAACACAGTTGGCAGCTATCTCCTGTACAAATGTTCTTCTTGTGGCTTCTGTGATTTCACCCTCTCAGGATTTTTGGCAGCTTCTCCCCTGCCAGCCTCCAAATGTTCTGATGCCCAGTGCCTCTATTCTCAATATTCTTGTCTTACTGAGCCATACTGTCTCTATAGGTGATCTCATATAGGTGCATGGATTGAATACTATTTTATATGCTGAGGACCTCCAAGTTTCATCTGCAGTCAGGACCTCTTTCTGAGCCTCTTTCTGAGATTTCTTTGTTCAATTGCCTCCTCAAAAACCCATTTGAAGATTGGTCATTTCAAACTCAAAATATCCAAAACAAAACTCTTGATTGCTAACCCAACCTCAGGACATTATTACCGCCATACTGCAAGGAGCCTAGGAACCACCTTTCATTTCCCTCTATTCCGTTTTCAAGCCCATAAGAAATGGGTCCCATTTTTAGATAGAGCCAAGAAGGAGAAATCTGAAAGACAACATCCCATACCACAGTTAGCCTTAGTTGGGGAAGGATCACCCAAAAACCAGAGAAGGAAATTTGACACTAGGTAATGTGTGAAGTAGGAAAAAGAAATGCTGAACTCCTGGAGGGCCCAAAAGCCAAAGGAAAAGACCAGTGAGCAAGTCAACCAGACCTGAGAAGTAATATGCCTTGCCGGCCTCAACTTTGGCAAGCAAGGCTAGGCTGTCAAACACTGAGTCTCAAAGTCCTAACTCTCAACCTTTAGTCTTTCTTGATGAGTAATTCTGTCATTAGGAGGGAAGTTCATGGCTTAATAATAATAATAACAATAGTAACCTGTCAATAAATCAAGGGAACATACATGCCAGCATAGGATGAGATCAATGTGTCACATATTTTGGAAAAATGAAAGAATTTCTGGACAGTCCCACAAAGGTGAGAAATTATAAATTATATAATTTATTATATAATTATATAAACATTTCAATAATCAAGTTTAAATTGCTTTCCCAGGGCTAGGGTATATTGACATAATGGCAATCCAAATTCCATAATTTCAATTCCCAGATGTAAATAAAATTAATTGCATATGTTCGTTTTGTTTTTTTTTTCCAGCCTGGAGATGAATTCTATCCTAGAGATGAGAATGGCAAATGGTTATATCACAAGACAAATCTGTGTGCCACTTGGGAGGTAAGTTCAAGTGGGCCTTTTATTCTTTTATTTTAAAAGACTACATTTTTAATATTGTGATCTGATTATTGCTCTTTGACTTATGAAGAGATGCAGCTTTTACTCTCCCATTCTAAACTCCAAAGGCTGGGGATATACCCTAATGAGCATGGTACCTCTTTCTTATGAATGTCCCCCTCGAGGTAACAGCTGAAGATCTGAAGGATGGAGTTGTTTTGAGGGGTGAGGAGGCCACTACTGGTTTTCGGGTGCCTGGGGCTCTCTACCTGAGAAACCAAATACTCACTCCTGAACTCACTGGAGATGACTAGATTTGGAGTCTAGTGTTTTCCTCTAAGGGTCTGCCCGACAGGGTAGCCAGTATCCCCAGGAGAAAAAATGCTCATAGCTCAAAATGACAAGGTATTGATTTCACAGGGAAACAACATATCTCAAGTACAAGTCCCAACATAAACAGAACAGAGGATCAAGAACTTTTAAATTAGCAAATGAATATATTAAAGGAGATAAGAAAAGATATTAGCAATGTGAAACAAGAAAACATTTTTTAAAAACAAGCACAGCAGTTGGGTATCGACCTAGGATCCAGGAGATCGAAGCTCGATTCCAGGTCAGGGCACATGCCCGGGTTGCGGGCTCGATCCCCAGTCAGGGGCGTGCAGGAGGCAGCCGATCAATAACTCTCATCATTGATGTTTCTCTCTCTCTTCCTCTCCCTTCCTCTCTGAAATCAATAAAGACATATTTTTAAAAATAAATAAATAAATAAATAAATAAATAAATAAATAAATAAATTCAGTGATATCAATAAACACAGTGTATATAGATAGTTAAAACAATTCAATTAAAAGGCAGAGGCTTTCGGAATGGGCAAGAAGCAAAACCCCACTATATATTATATATGAGAAACCCATTTTAAATAAAAACATACAAACATGTTTAAAGTCAAAGGTTAAAAAAATATCAAGAGGATAGGAAATCATATACTAGGCCAACAGTAATCAAAAGAAAGCTCGAGTGGCTATCTTAATATCAACAAAGATTTCAGAGCAAAGGTATTAGCAGGGATAAAGAAGTTTGTTTTATAATAAAATCAATCCTAAACATCTATGCACCTAATAACAGGACTCCAAAAATACATGAAGCATAAATGAAGATGGAAACTTACCAAGAAGATACACAATTTGAAACACAAATGTACCCAAAAAAATATCTTCAAAATATGTAAAGCAAAAATTATATAAAAACATATTTTAAAATAGAATACATGAAGACATTGATTATAGTGGGAGATTTCTGACATGTTCCTTAAACTACTGAGAAGCCAGGAAAAGTGAGGCCTAATTTTGTATATAATGTGTGTGTACACACCTACATATATGTATAAGAGAGACTGAGAAACAGAGACAGAGGAGAGAGATTTGCATCCCAAAACAGGAAAATATACGTTTTTACACATATCAGACTCTTCTGAAAATTGATTAGCTACCACACCATAAAGAAAGCCTCAACAAATTCCAAGAAATAAGATCATTATGGACATTACAAAGGAAAGATATGGTATACGACACTCCTCAAACTCAATCACACAATTCCTGCTTGTCACTCCCACTTTTTTCTTTCACAGAACACCCACTGACAGGCCCAGGGACTTCCCTTTTTAAAGAACTTATATTAATCCGATAAACAGTCATCCTTGCTTGTTTTGAGGCCTCTTTCTTGACTCATTGGCGTTTACCCTGCAGGCTTTGGAAGCTTGCAAAGATGCTGGCTTGGTGAAATCTCTTGGCGTCTCCAATTTTAACCGCAGGCAGCTGGAGCTAATACTGAACAAACCAGGACTCAAGTATAAGCCAGTCAGCAACCAGGTACAGATTGACGCGGGCGGGGGGAGACAAGGGATTCCGATCGGTACGTAACCGAAAGAGCCCTGGGCTGGGAGTCGGAAAAAAACTTTACTAGGGGCTATAAACACACAATTCAATAGGCAGATGATGTACTGTGGAATTGTATACCTGAAACCTGTATAATTTTATTAAACAGTGTCATCCCAGTAAATTCAATATAAGAAAAGAAAGAAAAGAAAAGTGTAGGTCAAAACTACCAGAGTGTTTAAGAAGAAACTTTCAAACAATTTTGTTGACACTAATATTTTCAGGGCAAGACTCTTGTCATTAAGATACTGAAAAGGAAAGTAGGCTTACATTTGGTGGTGTAAAGAACTCTCGTCCAAGAAGACAAAATTCATCTTTAAATTTAGTTTTATACATGCTCTCCCTCCCATGAAAATACTCTTAGATGTTTGATAGCTAGACAGAGGGCTTCTGTAAAATGTCGCTTTGACTTCCTACGACTAAAATCTGAACATTGACACTGTAAGTTTGTTATGGAAATTGTATTTTCTAGAATGTTTACTATAAGTAATTGAGTCTCTTCACTTCAAGTTTTAAACTACAATAGGTACACAAAGCTGAATTTGTTTCCCAATTATTTTAGAATTAACCCACAGATGGTGCCCTCACTAACTTTGTTGTAATTAATCTCACCAATATATAACCAATATAAGTATCCTTGTTAGGAAAAATATTTAGGATTCAGCTCATTATCCAAAATACTTTTAAATAAATTTTATTTAAGAATTTTTAAATAACTTTTTACAATTGCATTCCTCTACGAGGCCTTAATTTTGTGCTCTGCCCTCCAATGCAACCACACAGGTGGAGTGCCATCCATATTTCATCCAGACAAAACTCCTGAAGTTTTGCCAAAAACACGACATTGTCATTGTGGCGTACAGCCCTTTGGGGACCTCTAGGAATCCAGCCTGGTAAGTAATGCTGGAAGCCCCTTCAGGAAGTAGAGTATAAGGCTAGTGTGAATCATTTTATTGAAATGACCCTATTCAGCTATGGGATCTTTAAAAAGTTACTTAACCCCCTCAGGTCATTCTCCATATATCCAAATAGAGCTAATCACACCTTCCTCACTTAGATGTCGTGAGCATTGGTTATAGAATGTGTATGAAATTACTTACCAGTGCCTAAGACACAGAAATGCTACATAAATGTTACTTTGGGTATTATTTGACAGAGTGTTTATGGCCATATTCTGAAATTTGGCAATTTTTTTATCTCTATATTCAATGGTGACAGTTCTACTGTGATGTGGTCCACAGACCATAGCAGACATTTTTCTACTCTAAGATGATTCCAAGAGTTGTACCTCTGTTTATTGCACTTCAGTCTTTCTACCTTCTCACATATGCCTACTTTCAACCCAGTTCTCTCTGTAACACACACCAAATATATGTGTGTGTGTGTGTGTGTGTATGTATATATATATATATATATATACATACACACACATTATTTACTTTCTGAAAAAGGCAGCTCTATAAATTTGCCTCTCTTGGTCTTCCCACACTAAGAGCAGCTCTTAATTGAAGACTCTGCAGTCAGAGAAATGGGTTACAGGTGACCTGGAATGTCCTGGTAGGTTACCAGGTGAATGGGGAGACAGAGGAGGGCTGATTCACCATTGGTTCTCACTGATCAAGCTAAAGACAGTGCATGTTTTTCTTTTTTTAAGGGTGAATGTATCTCTCCCACCTTTGTTAAAGGATGAGCTTCTAAACTCATTGGGGAAAAAGTACAAGAAGACGGCAGCTCAAGTTGCTTTGCGTTTCAACATCCAGCGCGGGTTGGTTGTCATTCCTAAAAGCTTTAACCCTGAAAGGATCAAAGAAAACTTTCAGGTAAGAGAACGGCTTCTGAAAATGTAAAAAGTAGGGTTATTTTTTTTATTTAGAGAATTTCTACTTAGATTCATAAGAAACTTGTAATGCCTTCATGTTTTATTTTATATCAGCTCCCTGACCCACTCTGCCCATATCTGGATTTAATTTTAGCTGAATTTGAGACAGTTCCTAGTACTTTGGGGATTGCCTGGCTGCTTGTCCGTTACAGGAATACTTCTGTAATATTGGGATGCTGTTCCAGACCATACATGTATTGCAATAAAGCAAGTCACACAAATATTTTGCTTTCTTAGTGCTTATAAAATTTATGTTCTCACTACACCGTAGTCTATCAAGTGTGCAATAGCCTTCAGCGAGTCGTAATCTTTTTGCTCGTGGAGGGCCTTGCCTCACTGTTGATGGGCTGCTGGTAGTTGCTGAAGGTTGGGGTGGTTGTGGCGATTTCTTAAAATAAGACAACAATGCTGTTTGCCATGTTGATTGACTCCTACCTTTCATAAACAATTTCTCTGTTACATGTGATGCTGTTTGATACCATTTACCCACCAAACTTCTTTCAAAATTGGAGTTAATCCAACAATATTGACAGCATCTTTAACAGAAGGAGGTTTCATCTCAAGAAACCACTTTCTTTCCTCATCCATGAAAAACAACAACTCCTCATTCATTGAAGTTTTATCATGAGGTTGCAGCAATTCAGTCACATCTTCAGGGTCCACGTTTCATTCCGGTTCTCTTGCTGTTTCCACCACATTTGTGATTATCTCCTCCACCGGAGCCTTGAATCCCTGAAAGTTATCCATGAGGGTTCGAATCAGCTTCTTCCAAACGCCTGTTAATGTTGATATTTTGACCTCTGCCCATTAATAGCGAATGTTCTTAAAGGCATCCGGGATGGTGAGGCCTTTCCAGCAGATTTTCAATTTACTTTGCCAGATCAGAGGAATCCCTATCTAAGGCAGCCATAGCCTTATGAAATACATTTCTTAAATAAGAAGACCTGAAAGTCAAAATTACTCCCGGATCCACAAGCTGCAGGATGGGTGTTGTGTCAGCAGGCGTAAAAGCATGAAGCTCGTTGTATGTCTCCATCAGAGCTCTTGAGTGACCAGGTGCCTTGGTCAATGAGCAGAAATGTTTTGAAAGAGGCGTTTTTTCTTCTGAGCAGTAGGTGTCAACAGTAGGCTCAAAACACTCAGCAAATCATGTTGTAAACAAATGTGCTGTCATCCCAGCTTTGTTGTCCCAGAGTAGATTTAGCATAATTCTTAAAGCTCTCGTTTTTTCAGAATAGTAAATAAGCATTGGCTTCAGCTTAAATCACCGGCTGCATTAACCCCTAGGAAGAGAGTCATCCCTGTTCCTGGGCTGGAGTCGAGGTCATGTGATGAACATGACAAACATGACTTTTCTTGTTTTGTTCTGTTTTTTTATTTATTATACAATCTCATAAGCTCCATTACTTGGATCCTAAGTAATCAAAGAAAGGGTTCCCTGAAAATAAAAAAGCACTTGGGAGCAATCTGTTGTGGAATAATTAAGTAAATTGTTGTTACATTTATACTATGGATACTGAGGTTAATAATAGATAGTCAGTCCATGTATTTTAACAGAAAAGATCACCAACACGTATCCTGTGAATGAAAGGAAGCTGCAGAATAATAAAGATGTAATATAATTATTTCATGTTACTCTTACTGTGTGTTGAATGTTTGGAAAGAATATCGGGGAAGAAAAACAGGACTGCATGGTGGGTAACCACTTTCACTATTTATTCCAAGTGTATCCATGCACTTCTGTAGTGACTCCTTGCTTTACGAAAGACATACACTTATGAATGACTTATGTAATTAAAGATCGCAAATGGTTAAATATGCTAAAATAAAATGTAAGGGATAGAAAGATAAAAAATAAAATAAGAGAAAATAAATTATAAACAGATTGACCAAGTGTTAAAAATATAAATAAGCTAAAATAAAGTATAAAAATGTTAATAAAGGACAATTATAAAACCAGAGTATAAAGTGCACAAGCTAAGAAAAAATAAAACAATGAAAATATAGTAAGAATTAAAAGGTATGAAAAGAGACGTTAAAAATGATGAGAGAAGTGATTAAGAGGAAAAACCAAAGCAAAGTAAAAGTTTTTTGAAAGTACAGAGGCAAATTTACAGACAAGGGGGTATTTTTTAAGTGTAGGAAAGGCTCCAGCACAGAATCAAAAGTTCAGCATCTTCTCCAGAAATAACAGGAATTCTTCATTCTTGGAATTTCGGATGTCCTGAACATAACGTTGTTTCTCAGAATTTGGAATGTCCCCAGCAGAATTGTCTTAAGACAAGGCACAGGCGAGAATTCCTGCTCCACTTGGGTTAGGGGGACCCCCCAGGCCTTGTCCAACTCCTCTTAGACATTTGCAGAGATGTTCCTAAATCTTTGAAGGTTTCCAACTGCTGGCTTCTCTCCCAGACCCCAAGCTTGACCCATTTCTATCATCATAAATGTCTTTTATTTCTGTTATTTCAGATCTTTGACTTTTCTCTCACTGAAGAAGAAATGAAGAGCATTGAAGCCTTAGATAAAAATGCCCGCCTCGTGGAGCTGCTCATGTGAGTTCTGGGGGATCATGAGTCAGGCCCTACCCAGGGGCGTTGGATTGTCAAGGTCAGAGAGCTCTTGTGAACCCGGACCTATGTCCACAGAAGCACAAGGCTAAAGGCCACTGGGCAGCCTATTCTGAGTATTAAATAGGTCTGGGGAAACCACATTCATTCTAGGAACTCCCTGCAAATCTACATTTTTATTTAAAAGAAGATTTCTGGCATTTATATGCCATCCCGTGACAGGTTAAGGCACAGCAGGCTAAAGACCTTGAGGAGAATTTAGTCAGAGTGTACACACAATACAATACAAATTAATACAATAGGGGCACAATTATTCCAACACATATGGATTTCTTCCTAAAAAATCAAAATGATGCACAAATTAGAGCAAAATTATCAACAAAAATCAATTCCTGGGATAGAGACGTAAGAGTGTAGTAGAAAGAGCACCAAGTTGGGAGCCAAGAAACTAGTTTTATTTTATTTTGTTCCATTTTATTTATTTTATTTAATTTATTGTTGACACTATTACAGATGTCCCCCACTTCCTCCCCCCTTTACCCACTGCACACAGCCCCCACCCCA